TACAACAATCTTGTATATATACTCATTAGTGAATACTAATATAAATATTTTTCTACCTTTTTATTCATAATGCATAAACCAATCATCCAGTTACTTCTCGGCAGTTGCCTGTTTCCGTTTCATAATACAATCTTTGTTCTTAGTTATGAATGCATTTTGTTCATTCCTGTCTTGAATAATCCCTCATTAAGCTAGTCACTTTCTGCTCCATGCTAAAAAGGAAAAATTATCATGCAAATGTGGCATGCCATATTAAAAAGCACATTACCAAACACTTTTGTTGCTGTCCTTCAATTAGTTTCCCTTCTTTGAATTTAATTTCATTTGTTGTTAAACTACTGACTTGATGTATGGACTCATGAATTTGAGGCTGCTGCCAAGAATGTAGCAGGAAAAAAAAAAAATCAAAGCCTCTTCAGAAAGCTGCAGAGGCAAAGCTGAAATGAATTTGCTTCACCTTTGACAAGAACACTTGAGCAGCATTGGAATCCTCTGATGATTCAGCTTGGCTAATTATCCAATTATTTATTTCAAGAATAAAGACACTGTTTTACAATTAGAAAAGTGTAAAGTAATCTGAGAAATTTCGTAATGACAGATGACTTAAGTAACTTCTGAGATAAACAGTATCTGCTCAAAATTGTCTTGCCAAGTGTTCAAGCTGTACTTAAACTGCTCTTTGAGTTCCAGGAAATTACTAGGGACGCAAAAGTTACTTGTTTCTTCTCCCCTGTGAAACACATATTATACTTCAGAAAACAGCTCAGTTTGTTCTTTTCCCTCTGTGTCAAATTTGCGCGGTTTTTAAGCTATGTTTAAGTTGCATTCCTCTTGATTAAAAGCTTTTGGTTCAAAGCAATACTTTTTAATTGCCTAATGATATAAGTCAGTTCTTAGGAAAGAACCGTGCATTTAGGAGTTCATTTGCAATATAACTGAAAAATTCATTGCATGGCAGTAAAACAATTTACCGTTAATTACAAGGAGAAGAATTTGCTGTACCATGCTCACAGATTGCCATGAATCATGCAGCACTCCTAGAGATTTATAACAGATGTGTAAGTGGGATGAATTAGCAGGGTTTAATAACAGAGACACAAATCATGCAGACTTCAAGGAGCTTTAATTGATATACTAGAATGTGACGGGCATGAATCACTCAGCCATTCAACAGCACTGTAACATATGGTCAGCTCAATATGCTGCATCTTAAATCGGTTGGTGAGTCGTTGGTTGTCCCATATGGTGGAAGCAATATATTTTTCATGATTTTTAAAAAATACTGTGTATTACATCTATTTTTAAAGAAATATGATTGTAACATACCTGTCTAACTAAATTTTCTTTTGATGTCCATTATGGGTGGTTTTTATTCTTTTTGGGGGAAGAGTCCAAAATGGACTCTAAAGAATCTTCTAAAAAAATCAAAGTACTGTCAGAAGATATGAGTATCATTTCTTGACTCATTTACTGTTGAAATGACTGATGCTATTGTGAAGCACAGAGAAAGAAAAGATTATACCAGAAATGCTATGGCAATCTCGGGCTCCTCTGGAGTAATAACTTGTAGCAAAAATGAAACGGATGACCAATAGTGAGGAATGTAATTTTACCTGCAAGGTAAACTCCAAGATGAAGAAAAATAGATTTTCTTAAGGTTTTTGTCCTCAAATTCGCCGAACATTTCTGTTTTAATTTGTATGTATGCATTTTGAATTCAGCTGAACAGTAATTAAAAACTGTATACTCTTTGTTACTGAGGTACTTTGTTACCTTCCTGAACTATTCAGAGTGGCTAATTGAAGGCTTCTGTGGAAGGGTACACAAATATCTACCTACAGTATGCTGAGCAGTAGTTATTCAAACATATGTAAGCCTGTTAAATTTAGCCACAGTGTAAATATGTTATTCCTGGGACAAGAATCTGGCAGAGTATGGAAAAGCTTTAGCAGTTGTATTAGTAAACCTGACAGACTTGAGAAAGGAGTATTGTATCCTTAGAACCGTGGCTGCCAGAATTTAATGTCAACAATTAAAATTTATTTTGATCCTTACCTAGTGTTTATTACTGTTTGTATACACAACAGACCTTACTAATACAGAGATGCACTATTAGATGGAATTACCATCTGTTCAGAGCGAAATGCTGGCATCTGTCTTCGAGTCTAAAACTAAAATGATATTATTTCAAACAAAACAAAATTAACTGCTCTTTACTTACCAACTTCATTTTTGTGTACATGTGTGTGCATACACACATGGGAAAGGCTTATTTGTAATGACCTGTGTAGCAACATCTATATTTAGATATATGACTTCAACATAAGCTGTATGGACCATCTGTCTTTATTGGTCTTTTTTGTGCCCTCTGCTACACAATGGCATGCAGCAATCATGGGCTTTTAAATACTGTTTTAGCTTTATAATATATTAAATATGTATTATATAGCAAGACATTAAAACTACATAATTAAAATACACAAAATGTGACTTTGAATCCACTAAAATGTAGTACACTCATTATTTTGACAGATGTGTCTTAACAGAACGTGACTAAAAAAAATTAAATAGGTAAAATTATAGTCGATTCATCTTTCAGGAAGTAGCTACAGGTACCACAGTGACACCTTTAGGAAAATATATACTGTATCTTTTAGTTTTGAACATTTTTAATTTCAGCATTTAGTACCCTGCTGGGCTAGTGCTACAGATTTATTTTCAGTCCTGTCTGTTCCTGTGCAGAGTTTGGTTTTCTGTTTTGTTTTTATTTTTTTAACTTACGTAACCTGTTATGTCCATCTTCCACTGTCTTGATGCACAAGAATTCTCAAGCATCGATGAGACTGTAGTTTAAATACAAATGTTATAGCAAGGATGTTACTTTCTGAAAGGGTAGGCTTCTGTTCCATATATCACAATATAATAAATTGTGTCATGCCAGTGTTTAATGCATGTACACAGTGCATTAACTGTAACTGTAGTACATTTATTTGTGCTAGAGGAGACTTGAAAATGATTAAAAAATCAATACTTCCCTGTCAGAGAAGCAAGTGTTACGATGCATTTAAGTAGTTAATTGCATAAGCCCCATAAAAGCTTCAGGTTTGGGTATCAGAGATGCCATAATTATGGTCCAAGTAACTGCCGTTTATTAATACTCGACTTTAAAGGAAGATATAGTTATTGTCATGAGGGTTAGTTAGCTGTATGTGTTTTAGAAATAATGAGTTTTAGCATTTCTGTGTTACCATCACTAAGCTGAACTGGAGGGCTCAACCTCTTACGTTCGCATTTAAAATGCTGACGTACACTAGTTCCCTCCAAAGGTGAAGTTTTGATTGTTAAGCCATGTTTTCTATTTAAACTTGTGCATTAATACCACAATTCATTAGTGCTGTGCCCTACTTATGCAGGAAAGCTTATGACCTCACGCTGCATTACTTCAATTTTGACATTGTAAATTTCTACCATAGTGTGAGATACTAATTAGATTGTGAAGTCATAAATGATGCCTAAGCAGGAATTTACAGCACATAGGGTCATTGGCAGTTTCCCAGTTCCCCCACTCCCTGCTTTCTCCAAGAAGAATATTTATCAAGCTAGAGGGGGGCAAAGAAAAAGAAAGAAGGAAAGAAGGAGAAAAAGTAGCGACATGCTACAGGCAAATAGGAAAAATAAAAAATATGTCAATGATCTTGGAAATGTGCAAATGTTTAAAAGGATGTTATTAATTCATTCTAAACGAAGCAATCGCTCCTTTAGAGAACTCGCACTATGTACAATGCTGTGCTGTGAAGTAATATGTCAGATTTCGAAGGCCCATATTTTAATTCAGGTTTTATTGTTCTTGAAAGGCGTTTATTGTTCTTTACTATGTCATTATGGGAACAAGTAATTTTTACAAGTGGTCCTTGTATTTCACTTCCTGAGTACAAATGAAGTTTCTGTTGTTAAATCCTTTTCTTTATCAGGGAAAGAAGGGGAAGAAAAAAAGGCAAGATAAGATGGATATAGATTCTGTAGGTAGTAGAGTGTTCTTGCACTTCTCCAGATGATGTCTTTTATTGTTTCAATGATGGTCCATTTCTTTCCCACCTGTATGGCCATCATGCCATTACCCAAACAGGTCATGCTGCCCTCCAGTGGCTTCCTGTACAGTATTTAAAAGAAAAAATAAAAAATTTTGTTTGTAACTCAGCTATAGATTGACCAGCGCTATCAGAATGTTTAAAAGAATATCAGAGTATTGGTTTTAATGGTAGGAGGATCATTGTAATAACATAAAACTGTCTTACACTGATACCTTTGTGGAAACAATCTTGTACAGAGTCTTAACTGTGCACCAGTGTTGGTGGAGAAAAGTTAGAGAGGATCATTTTCTTGAACTGAATAATTATCTCAACATATGCTAACGTCTTGTGTGCGCACCATGAGGAGAACAACCTGAGGGGCCTTCAGTATTGTGGACGGATAGCTGTTCTGCTCCTGTTGACAAGGATAAGTCCAGTGATGAAAGCCTCATGTTGTCATGTACCATACTGCTGAGATGTAACAAGAGTTAATTAACTGTTCAGATTCTCCTTTGGTCTTTCACTCAAATCCAATGCTGAAAGTCATACAGATACGTGCTTACAGTGAGTATGGCATGAGAGGCTAATCAAGGAAGGAATACAAATACACTTTTTATGAAGATGTTGATTCAGATTCTTAAAGATTAGGGGAAAAAAAAAATGGATATAGTACTAGAGACATTTATCCAAAGCCTGAATAAACAAATAAGGTGTTTCTTGTGGAATTGAAAGTAATTCCTATAAAGATTAAGAACGTTTGGGTGGTTTTTTTTTTCTTCTAATTAAGCTTCTATGGATATCTGTGTTTATTCTTAAGACGATCAGAAACTGAAGCAGGATGTGTTGCAAAAATTATGTTATATGCAATAAATAATTTCCCAAGTATTATGGAAAATGATACCTAGATAATTTTTTTTTTTTTATGCATAGCTCCAAGAAAACTTAAGTGCCCTCGTGTTGAAGGAATAAACAGCACAACGGTAAAGATAAATTGGAATGAACCTGAAGAACTTAATGGGCCTTCTCCCATCTACCAGGTGGAAAGGATGGATTCATCTCTAGCTACATTGAGTACAGAAGTAATGAAAGGGATCCGTTTCCCAGGAAATGGATATTACAGATTTGCTAGTTCCACTCTCCCCGCCAATACTTACTTTACAGGTAAATGAGTTTAAATGACTTACAAAATGTACCAATTGTACTCTGCATTTGTTTAACCATTTATTGTCATCTTCTATATAATTTTCATGGTAAAATCCGTAGTTTTTAATTTATGAGCATAACGTGATTGTTAGTGATGTATGGGCTATTTCGATTCTCACATAAAAAGCCTGTGGAAAACGTTATTGGACATGTGGGATTTGTATTCCCTTGCCTTTGGACATAGAGATGTACATGACGGTGAATGTTGCTGTATATTTGACTCATTTCCTGGTGGTAAATATAAGATGGATTTTATTTATTGTTCTGGGATAAAAACTTCTCGATGAAGTTGCTGTGAATACTAAGGCATATTTTCTTTGGTATCGTTTTGAGGATTCCCGAGGTTGCATGAGCACTCAAAAAGAACTTTCTTCCGTGTTCAGAACATTTGTGTTGCGGTCCTGTTTGTTTTGTCAAGGAAGGGAAAAAGGCTGCCAATCTGACAGAAGTCTGCTGTTTCTGGGCCGCTGGGTATTATCTCCTCTCTTTTTTGATTAGTTATTTATTTTGGAACTGGGCATTTTTCAGGTTGAAGCAGACCAATTATCCTATGTTCTGTGATTCTCATCATTTGCTGGTGTCTTCGCTTCTTGGATAAAGCAAAGATATAGACAGTATGTTTTTTGGGAAAATGTCCAGATGAACCTGGTTGCATGTTTGAGATGTTGTAGAGGTCTGTAAGTGAAATATTACTGTGCAGTATTGGTGTGCATGAAGTATTAGTTTTTAAAAGTACAAGAAGAAATGGCAGAGCTCAAGGTTTAAAAAAAATTTTAAAAAGGTGTATTAAGGGTGCGTGTGTGTGTGTGTGTGTGTGTATATATCAGGTCATGAGACTGATAGCAACAAGGGGAAATCCAAAAGGAATCTAGGTAACAGTGAGAGCAAGCGTTAGATGGTATGCTGATAGTGCGAAGGCCACACCACGGTGTGGTACAACTTAACCTGGTACTGAGCCTTGTTTGTTAAGACAGATAAAGGCTGCAAAAAAACACGCAGCATTGTTGACACTCAAAAGAATGCCAAAGATTTGAAGAGGACTGAGTAGCTGTCATCCCTTGTCTTCTGGGTCACCACAGGTAATTCTGGCAAGAATACGTGAGCCCAGATATCTTGATACTTGCAAGCACGTGTGTGTGCAAATTCAGGTTTTGTTTAAAAAAAAAATCATCTTCTCATCTCTCTGATCATCCAGTGAATCTGATTTAAATAAAAAAGGTTGAAGATCACTTCCATTTTTTTTCTTGCTAGGTGCTTACTTGACTGATAGTCAAATAATAATAACAAGTGATAATGTGTTAGTTAAATATTGACACCATGTTGACTTGCAAAACCTGTCTCTGTGCAGGAATCTGTAGGAACAGCTGTTGGGCTCTTTTCCTCATCCAAATTGCTCGATGCTTTTCCTGATACCAGAGTTTGCACCCTTTACTGTATATTTAGTAAAAAAATCTTTGCATTTCTTCTGTTGTCAGTTGTGATGATCTAAACACCAAAGGAATTGCGAGCTGCAGTTTTTCTCACTGGAGCTCCAGTCAGCCCCATCACCACGGTTTAGTTAATTAATCAGACAAGTAAGGAATTATGAGTATCACCAGATTTCCTTCTTCTCATCAGAAGTCTCTGAGAGTGTTGGGGACGAGCGTGTTGCACTACTGGGATTGTTAACGTGCCTGGCTATTTGTAACCGGGCAAGCCCAACACTAATCTACCCAAGCGCCAGTTCAGTCTGGGGTTCAGTTATGCTCCACAAGCTGAGACTGAGGCCTTGAATAAGGTTTATTGAGGTGGCTGAGGTGATCTGAGAGAGTTTGGACAGACAGGTTGGGAGAAGATGTTAAAATAATGCTCCCTTCATACTGGCAACTGATGGCTGATGTTGTGTGGATAAATATAATTTATTATTGCTTTGGATTGCATTCGTTCTTTTTGACCAGCTATTAGTCTGAGTATCTGGAGACGGACCTAGAACCAAAACACACTAGGCAATTTGTCCAGACATCTGCTGATAATGACTGACAATCAGGTTAAATCAGCCTGTTTTGGTACCTAAAAATGTGTAATTCAGGTACTTGGCAACTCAATAAAGTTTCTGAGAAATACAAATCTGGGTTTTTCTAAAAGTAGATAATCAGTCCTTCTTCCAAAACATGATGGAGGGAAAATTATAGCAAATCCAGGAGAGTTTAGAAAGACAGGCACTTAAGGGAATGAAAAATTTTCTTTAATTGTACTCTGCACTTGTTTTGTTGTTGAGACCCTCTCTTATTACCCGTCTCTGAAGACAAGCAGTTGGCAGTTGTGCTTTATAGATGGAACAGCTTTAGTGTGCATGCAGCTGTGTACATTTTTAACACAAAAGTGTGCCAGCTTGTATATGTCAGTCAGCAGACAGATACTTCTTAGTGCGTCTGGCATCTCCCACTGCTAATCCAGAAAAAGATAGATCAGTTTATTCATTGCTAATAAATGCAGTTGTCCTCACTACCTCCCCAGCTGGTCTTACACTCCGAGGTGCAAGTAATAGGGGCAGATGTATTATCTGGGAAATTTTCCAAATTCATCTTTAAAAAAAAAAAAAAAAAGAAGTTAGGCAATAAACACTGGCTACACTAAGCAGCGTCCTTCTGCCTGTAACAAAGCCTCCAGCTGCACAGGAAGATGTGCTCTGAGTACACATTAGATGAGAGGAAGTCAGGTAAAGAAAAGGATTGTTTCTGCCAGAACTGTCCACATGTAACTTCTCAGCTCTTCAAACTGTGAAGAAGTGTTTAGGCATCTGTAATATCATTTCCCAAAAGATGCAGATTTGATTTTTAATACTTATTCATATCCCTTGAAGTTCTTAGATTCAACAGCATTCGTTATATCTATCAAAATACCACCAGGCAAAGGAACTGTTAGTGTTCTTGTTTTAGCTAAGGAACTCATCCATCTTCCATCACTCTGGGGTATTCAGGTGTTTCTCTTCATATCTTCGCCATGAGACAGCAAAGTGCTATCATTCTGATTTAATAGATGGGGAGCTGAAGTTCAGATTCTACTTAACGCAGGAGTTTATAGTTAAAAGGCCCTCTAGAAATGGCTAGAAGGTTTTACAAATTAGTTGTTTTGTGTGGTTTGCTTTATCAGTACAGCTCGTGTGATGCGGCTGTTGGTCTGGGGTCAGAATGCTGCAGTAACACTGGTGTGTTTGTCTTTCTGGTTCTCTAGTAGTCAAGAGCGGTACTGTCTGTTTTATACAGGGTGTAGACAGGCAAGCTTGGAGTTCAAAGAACTGTAAATAGCTGAGTGTCTGAATATCTTTTAAATTCAAATTATACTTGTATTATCTCTTGAATGACTGAGTCTAATGGCTAGGTCCAAAAAAAGCCTAAGGATGAAGGTGATGAGCACGATATCATGTTAACCTGGCTTTCACCGCTAACAAATGGGTGAGAATAGCTTGCTCTGCAGGGAAGTTAGGGTCTTCATGTACTTTCTAGCAGAGGCGTACCAAGGCTTACAAGTAAGATCCTTCGAGATCGTTGGATAAAATCCATGGAAAATAGCATGCTGAACTGCTGAAGTGTGTGTGTGTGAATGTCAACAACAAGACAACAGATACATTTATGAAAAGAGTTTTTCCTCGATTCCTTTTTGCTCCTTGGTTGAGGGTTAGGACTTGAGGTGCCTGAATGGATGAAACAAAAACTGATGTATGAATTTTGACCTGTGTAAACGAGCCCTGCTCAGGATCAAATTTGGTTCTAATTTGAGGCACTACCTTCTGTTCAGGATTCATAATTTATACATATCTCCTGAGGGTTAGGCAGCTTTAACTTTTTGTTTTACAGAGAGTAGGGGATCACTTTTTTCCTTGAAAACATGACTCCCTGAGAAAGCGCATGCGCACACTACTGAGTATATTGGTGGATACTATAACTTCAGATAGAAACAGTGCAGCTGTTTAAACTTTGTAGAAAATCCTGTCAAAGAGCTGTGCAACACTTTTTTCTAGAGCAAGTATACTAGATTAAGCTCCTAAGGACAGATAAAGGGAAGTTTAGTTTTCAGGTTTTATTGAGCAAATAGATGCCGAACTACTGAGTCCTTTCAAAAAGGAACTTCTGGGCCCAAAGAGCAACTGGTTGAAAATTGAACCCTGAATGTCTCTGGGATACAATGACATCTCAGCTAGGAGTTTCAGGACTGCAATTTAGTTGTCTAAAGCACAGTCATGGATTACACAAATCACTTTTTGAATCTTTCCTCCAATTGATCCACTGCCAGACAGAAAGTCTGTGGCAGAGCTGATGGGATAGGGCCTATTATAGTTAGAAAGGATAAAAATTGCAATCAGTTGGACACATGAATGAACGGGAAAGCTCCTTGACTCCATGCTATGGAGATACAGTTGGGCACCATGAAGAGACACTCAGTGTATCCGTAGGAGTGTGTAAGAACTGCTCACTGTGTAAAGAGTGACTCCATTGCTACAAAAGAAAGAAATCGCAGAGCAGCAAGATGGTTGTGTGGAAGGTTACATTCCTCCTGACCTCTCAAAATAAGACTACTTTTCAAATGTAACATTGAACATAAATTGACAATTCTGTGGCATTGTAGTGGGTTTTGTAAAGAATATACATATTCTTTTTATGAAATGGAGCAAAACAAATCCTCCAAGCATGCTTTATGCATTCCTTAAAATACAATTTGAGTTTGATGTCAGGAGTTATAATTACACATCCATGTGAGAAGGGAGACCTTTACTTATTTAGTGATAAAATAATTCATTTTTTTCAGGTGGATGAAAGATTCTTTGTGATATTTTAAAAACAGTTGAATTAGCTATTACTATTTTAATGTGATTCCTCTTGGATGCTACTTGTTTAAAAAGAAAATTATTCATGTAATATTGATCAAAATGCAGTCCACTCTGGAGAAACTTTTGTATTTGGCCTTGCTTTGAATCCAAG